GTACACTGTGGTAATAAAAGGATGGGCATGGTCAGCATCTGCTCAAGTAAATTGTGGGTTTTATATTGTTCTCAGTTGGTACTGAGGGCACCACCTCAGTGAGTGACACCCAGAGTGGTTTCTGCTGCTGTAGCCCAACTGCTTAAAGGTTTGATGTTTTGTGCATTCAGAGATGATCTTCTGCAAACCTTGGTTGTAACGAGTGGTTATTTCAACTCTTGCTATCCTATCAGCTTGCTCCAGTTTGAACATTCTCCTCTTACCTGTGGCATGAACAAGGTACTTTTGCACAGAGAACTGACACTCACTATTTTCTTTTTTGTGGAACATTCTCTGTAAACCCTAGTGATGGGAAAATCCCACTAGATCTGCAGTTTCTGAAACACTTAGACCAACCAGTCTGGCACTAACAGCCATGCATGGTCAAACTCGCTTAAATCACCTTTCTTCCCCATTCTGATGCTCAGCTTGCAGGTTGCCTTGACCTGCAGCTCAGTGCATTTAGGCACACACACAGTGCCTAAATGCACTGAACAAAGTGCGTAGAGAACAAACTGTTATCTATTAACGAACAGTTGAACAGGTGTACCTAACAAAGCGGCTGCTGAATGTAAACCGGATAAAGATAAATCATACTGAGAGGTAAAAATTGTACTTCACAGTTAAAAAGGAATGTGGAAAAGGGGTCATCTTGTCTCATCAGTCAGACCATGGCTATCTTCACACCTTCATTTTTACTAACCACCTGTAAGGTTTTGTGACTGTGTCTTTCACAGTTGTGATACAGACAAACAACTGCCAAAGAACTCAGACTACAGCTGTGGCTACAGCAGGTTACACAAATACAGAATCAAAGGGTGAAAATAACATGACTTACACTTGTTTGAATTGGATTTGATGAATTCTTCTGGTATTCATTTATACTGACATTTTGCATTTTTGGATTTCTGTGTCTATTTCCTTGTTTCAGGATCGTCTTAACGTTACCATAATTAAATTTCTTTCTTTTTTTTTTGTTTGTCTTATTTTTATGAGAAGGTACATTGATAACTACAGTGCTCTAGTAATTTACTCAGGTGTGTTTCTGAGAGTGTCTAAAATTTACTACACTATATCAGATGTTGATCTTCTTCAT